GGTCGGGTAGAGGGTCCAAGATCATAGACCACCCGGAGGGTCACTACCAGGTCTAGTTAGAATAAGCTCCTAGGTTAGGTAACCGGATAGTTAGGGGAAGAGCGACAGTCTAGGGAAGGAGTAAGTCCCTACAGTTAGGTAACTAAGTAGACCTGGCAGTGACCCTCCATTTGGACCCGCCAAGACGCTAAGGAGGGTCCAAAGTCCGGATTCTGGACCCGCCAAGGAAATTATGCATGCATAACCTATCCTAATTAGGAAATAATATGCTTATAAACCATGATTTATATATATTTATGTCAAAATTTAGGTCTTGGCGGGTCGCTGGACCCTCGGAGGGTCCAAGGTCATGGACCACCCGGAGGGTCACTGCCAGGTCTATAACTAAGCTCGCGATCCCCGTATATAGAGGAAATGACTATACGCGAGCGATAGGCCCGCGGTTTGTTATAACATAGGTAGTGTGAGACACAACCGTATATAATCCGGAGCGCTCGCCGGAGCGCTATTACATTTAACGCAACCCGAAAAAAATTTTCGGTAAAAACGATAGGGGGTCAAGGGGGGAGGGCGTAGGTGATCTGAACCCTTTAGCCGCTGGTAACCTAGGGGCTTAGCGACCGGAGAATTCGGTAACCGTATAGTATGTCCAACCAGAGAACCTCTAGCTTTAGCAGGACATGCTACCAATGTGTTATAGAATAAGCCTGGTTGTGGTAAAGATGCTTGTATTGCTATGGAATTACTGCGTAGGATAAGCTACGCTGCTTAATAATACATCCGTCATCCATCCCCTGAGGGCCAGGCCCTCACACATGGTATTTGAATATGTCAACAAGTGGCTATAAACGCACCTAAGCGACGCGCAAAACGCTGCTTGGACTCTATTTAGCCGATCCTCCAGCCTATCCCACCAATTGTCGCCCAACCTGTGAAGAAACTACGTTCCTTGTCCAGCCACGGCAATATCCAACGCAATGCAAAGAGCATGACGCCGTGGTTCGAAGGTCTCTTCATCAAGGGCCTCGCTTCTAGTTTCATAGCAAATTGCGTGGAGGGGTTCTAAGAATTGTTCGAAGCCGGTATATAAGTTGGTAGCCTCCTAAATTTGCAAGTATTTAGAAGTCATCCAGGATCATTAGTGGTATTTGCGCTTGATAGACCATGATTTGCAGAAACAATCATCGCCATGATCTCTTGTGACGCCTAGCTTCCACCTATTATACAATAAGAATGTCACACTGCGAAGATTGAGATTGCTTTCGAGCCATGTCAATCCAAGATGTGTGAGTACCAGGGTCGTTCCACCAGGTCTCAACGAACGAAAGAACACGCGCTCTATCCAGAGTGCGGCTGATACGCATGACATTACCAAAACATTCCTGAATGATCCTTTGACCGGTAGGATGTCCTTGGAGTTCAGTTCCTGCCATGAAAAGGGGCCAGACAAGGTCCTGGGCGAACATGCCGTCTCGCGTCCCGGAGAGAAATTGTACATAGCGGAGGATTTCATCCCGAGACTTGCGCACATAATTACCACCAGTAGCATCCTCTGATAAAGCTTGATGGCTGTAAATTATAGTTGCGTGGTAGTACATCCACACTACCAGTTCAAAGCCATGTTGATCAGCTTTGGAGGAGAAGTGAATAGATTTACTGAGACGCATCATGTTGTTTCTAGCCGACTCAATCTGCGACTGGATGTCTTGCATCGGGCCGTATGATGAAGCCTGCTCGATTGTCCCGGAACAAAATCTCAGACGCTCCAGGCGGGTGATGTGGTCAATGACCTGAATGAAGTCGGTAAAGACTGCGTTCTCGGCGCTAGCAGGAGGGGACTTGATCGCCATGTTATAATTATCAAATGTCGTCAAATCAGCCCACACCGAAGCCTCATAAAATTCCAACATGAGAAACTGTTCGATACAGGCCAGCTGGTGGTGCCGGCAAGGTCGGTTTCCCGCTGCAAGGATGATTTCCCTCGCAGCGGAGAGATGAACCCTCCACCCGGCGCCTTGTGGTTTCATAAACTCATTGTTGCAGAGAAGAATCACAGATGCAAGGGTATAGGCAGATGTTGTGCTCGCTTGGAGTGCCGATGTAGATGTAGAAAGACTGTTCAACTCTTGAGCCAAAAGAGCAAGAGATTTATTTTGATAGTTTTTCGACATCTGCTGGAATGTTCCATGTCCTAGGTCATTTGGAGGGTACTCCGATGCCAGATCATGGGCGGCAATGGCGAGAATGGAAGAAAGAACGGTTTCAGAGCTTTCCGCCATTGGCAGAATCATATGGCGCCATGCATTTTGTTGCGGAACCCACGCAAGTCGATGGGCGACTCGGTCGTTGAACCAGGAGAGCAACCGTGAAACATGCAGTGGTCGAGCTTGCGATAAGCAAAGTTCCGAAGCGGGGGATGGAAGGGGTCCCCGTGAGAAACGTGTCATGGAACGGTTGTACCGATCCAGAGCATTTATTCCGTTTCCAGTAGTACGGGTGTCTGTTAAGATATCCGAAGGAGGCGAGTCTGATACTGTAATAGGAGCATCGAGTGAGGGAAATGCTCTGCCCCGCAGACTACCGCGGCTAGCGACGCCCTGGACCCATTTGAGCTGTAGGCCGTAGCCAGGGCACTCCAAATTGCGTTTGCCGCATTTGCGGCAGGCGGGAAGGCCCCGATCGCACTTGATACGTCGCCTTTGACACGTTGGACAATCTGGTATTGTTAGGACCCCGCTTTAGCACAAGGTGATATCCATACCTTTAACAGCCAACTGTTCCGTAGAACCTGCGGACATTTGTCTATCCCATTCGACTTTCTACTACGAAACACAGAGAATCTTGGAATAGAACCAGGGCGTTGATATGGGCACTGGTTTTTGAGTGTGTCATGTGATACAAAAATGGGAATTTGATGCCTTTGACGAAGTTGAACCGCGCTAAACCTATTCAGGAGTTTAGTGCAAGCGGAATGGCGCTGTCCACTCGAGGGGACCAGATCCCACACGCATACCATATACACAATCACATGTGAACAGAGTAGTTCTTACATAGGGTTTCCCCTCATATAATGATCGATGTCATCCGGATTCCGAAGATTGATTGTGCAATTCTGAAGGTTACATGCTAATTCAGCTATCTAACTAGGTATTCCATAACGCTCACCTGGGCAATTCTCTCCGTACGAAGTAACGGATTCTGGATTGTTAATGCATGTACGGAGTACTCCGTATGCAGTTGTACCTGATATGCAGACATCAAGCTTGGACATCAAGGTAGATCCCGTCATAAACTTAATGTTTCCGTCTTGGCTGCCTCTTATAGGAAAGATCGCCGGTATCAACAGAAGTATAGTACGACTCTCTCTTCCTTTCTTTTTATTTATATGACCATTTGAACACATACCAGCGCACACAACTAGTATAATCATATTTTTCATCATGCCTTCTCTTAATCTCGACCTCGTTGCTCCCTCTACACACCATGTCAATAGCCAGTGCCATGAAAATCGTGAGGTTTCTGCTTTGGCAGGACATGTCGTTCTCTCAGCGTGTTCATTTTCACCCCTGGTCAATATGACCCAAATCCGCGTTCAGCTCATTCAGGCTGTGACATCTACAACCGACAGCAAAAATAGTCGGCGGACTTTGTGTCCTTCGATCTGGAATTCAACAAACAAGTCGCCTCGGCCGGGTTCAAGGATTGAACGAACACTTCGAGGCATTTCCCTGCCGATATTGTCTAAGGAAGGGGTTGAGATTTCCCAAGGGAGAACTATCTCAAAGTTCTACTTCTACTTGGACATTCCAATGAACATACCCGCGACGACAAAAACGCCTCTTGGAACTATCACCTACGCAATAGAAGCCATAGTAGCGACATTGAACAACGGGATTATCACCCACCGCCAACCTCTAAAGCTAAACCGGCAGATGATTCAGGCCGATCCGAAACAGACTCAGCATCGCCTATACTTCCCAACCTCGAACGCCATACAAGGAATGTCCCTCTTACAAAACTCAACACCGAGGTCTGGCCCAAGGATCTCTTTCACAGCTACAATCCATACCCACTGGGAGACAGCCCCAGCGAATCGAGAAGCAGAACTCCGCCATCTTGTGGTGCGAGAGCTGAGGTGGCATGCTGAAGAAATAGTTAAGATGATGAGCAAGCCTAGCAGCCTAGACGAGAAATATTCTATCTGCGAACAACAGACGGTCCGCAAGTTGTGTGAAGGGAGTACTAAAGGATACTGGGGATTTAGCCTTAATCCCTACGTTAAGCAACCACATGAACAGAATGTCGGGGGAAAGGGAGGAGAAAAACCAGCTATTTGCATTCCGTTTGATTTTACAATCCCGAAACGGGCAATGGTCATGGATGACATTGACCTGGCTGCATATGATATCCGCGCCGATAGAGATGGCCATAATCCAGAGTGTTGTCTTCCTGAAGAATGTTATTTCTCCTCACCAGGCAAGATGACGAAGGGAATTACTGTTCACCATCAGTTGAAGATCGAGCTTATTATGGGAGAAGACGTGTTTCATAAATGCACTGGAAAGCTTGTGGAACGAAGACTATTGCGGACTATCATATGTCCTGCAATTCCGTTGAGTGTTTGTGAGGTATCCATTTAGATGCTAGCATAGGTGTCTATGATTTGGTTGCGTGGGTTTAACGTGTGTGTGTGTGTGTGTACTGCTCTTATGAGAAGCCCATCTGTTTCCAACTCAAGTCAACGGTTTGACTAGCTAATTATTAGGAGTAAAAACCAGAACCAGAGTTATAGGGGCAGTCCTAGTAAAAGTTGTATATTAATTTGAGATATTCGCCCTTCAATCTTGGGATGTGTTAGTAGATGGTGAGGGGCAAACCGTATAGATTTGATCACTATTGTACCCCCACGAATAATTAGTTTCAATGAGATCATCGGAAAATTAAGAAAAAATAGTCACTATTCCATCCAATCATACAGCAGACAACATGACCATGGGCAAATCCGCCTATCCCACAACCCCCATGTCTCCACAAAATCCACGGCAAAGCGCTCTGCCGGGCAGGGCAAAATGCGGAGAGAACAAGACCAAAGGAGAAGAGTATAAAAAGAATATATCCGATGACCACACTACCTGATTATTACGTTGAATCTCATCTCCCAATATCAAATCTCTCAATTTCACACTCCCCCAAAATCCCAAAATCAAATTATCTCAACTCCACCGATATCAAACCACACAAAATGGGCAAATCCATTCTTCTAATCAACGGCCCAAATCTGAACCTCCTGGGCACACGCGAGCCACACATCTATGGCCACACAACACTCTCCGATGTAGAATTGAACAGCCGCGAGGTCGCCGCCAGCCATGGTGCCGTTCTTGAATCTTTCCAGTCGAACCACGAAGGCGCGATCGTGGACCGCATCCAGGCGGCGCGTGGCAAAGTCGACGGTATCATCATCAACCCGGGCGCATACACGCATACATCCGTTGCAATCCGCGATGCCTTGCTCGGTGTCGCTATCCCCTTTATCGAGCTCCATGTGAGCAATGTCCATGCGCGCGAGCCCTGGAGACACCACTCGTACTTCAGCGATAAGGCTGCGGGCATTATTGTTGGTCTTGGTGTTTATGGGTATAAGGTTGCTGTTGAGCATGTATGTGTTAATTTTGAGGAGAAGGAGAAGGAGGCTAAGGCTGCGCTATAATCGAGTTGGCAATTATGTTGTGATGGGATGTTTCATACAGATACGAGTATCGTTAGGCAACTATTCTAGTAAGCGGTAGATGATCTCTTCGCCTCTCACTTTAAACTCCAACCGCTGCTCGATAGACTAGTTGTGCACCACCAATGGTTTAGCGGAAGAGGAAGTCGTGATTTCATATACTCTTTATGGAAAGCTTTTACGTACTCATGTGGGCGAAGTCCTGCTGTAGAGGCTTATCCGTTTGAAAAATGAATTTCTAGACTACATACATGTAGTGATTTCATATATGTCATATAAGGTATCTTGTGACCAGTTGCCTGGCCTGGGATAGCTTTCTGTATGTGGATATGTGCCATATAAGAGATCGGGAACCCCCTTTGAGGCTTCGAATATGCGATAGAGTATGGGAGCCAGGAACTATAAATGTACCGCTTGCTCCTCAGGACCCGCACAGACAGCGGGCCGAGAGGCCAATGAGGCCGACCAGCGGCGACAGTGTGTTCCCATGGCATTGAGATCATCGGAATGGAATGATCCTACAGGACATCATCGCTTGGGGGTTCCCGACATGTTAAGAGGCTGCGACTCTCGTCGCATACCAGAGGAAGTGCCATTATTGGGTAGCTGCTGGGGTTGTGCCAGCAAGAAAGGCTCGATCTGACCGGCAAACGAGTAGAGCTCCGGAATGCCCACGTCAGAGACAAAACCTAGGTTCTGCATGAATTCTGGTTGATTGTCGGCTCTATAGGGGGTCAAAGTCAGTATTATACAGAGAAAAAAAAGAGATAGATGCGTACTTTTCGGCACCATCCAATGACGCCAGCTCATCGAATAATGCATCGAGATCTGGAGCGATTCGTTGCCTCCGTGGAGGCGCATAGCCATCCATATCAATAAAAGTGCCCATATTGACCGATGGGTCGTGATATGCCGTTGTATGGTACTGTGCGGTTTGATGGTATGATGGCGAAAGCTCGGCGAGTATTCCGGTACTGTTATGGGTTTCACTAGCCACCGATGTAGGATGAGGAAGCCCATTGTTGAGAGAACTATCCAAGTGACCCTGCTGTGGGGGAACTTCGGAGGCACCCCCAACAGAGGTTAGGGATGACGGCGTGCGGAGAAGAGAAACATCTTCGATGTGTTGTGTGGTTCTAAGCCAAGGCGTGGAGAGGAATGGGGTTTCAGGGACAGCCGCAGCATGTGTATTATTCTGGGCTGCATGTGTCGCATGTGTTGTATGAAGAACATGTGAGGGTGTGGCTATTGAACGCGATGGGGGGATTGCCATATCTCCGCCGGTAGAGGCATCGATGTGCTGTGAGACCGCAGGAGAGGTACCCAGCAGTTGGGGTCTTCGCGGTACATTTCGACCAGCGGCCTTTTGGTCTGACATGGTCCACAAAGCAGAAAGTTGGGAGGAAAAATTGTGGATGTTGTTTCGTAACCCCATATCAAGGACTGACGGGAGGTCCTTAGAAATGGATCGCGGGAGGCCAAATCGAAGCATTAGACCGAAGGTTGGTGCGGTAGCTGAAAAGCTGTATGTCTCCATGTAGGCCTGAAGCAATCGCACAAGCCTTTTCGAGCTTTCTGTAGCACGGAATTTGTGAGGAGGTTCAGGTATGTTCTGATCATATTCACGAATGGCAATTTGAGAGCTGAGAGCAATGACAACACTTTCATATGTCATCTCTAACACAAAAACATGCGGAGAAGCTAGTCTCACAGGGCGACTTTGTAGATCGACACGATAGCTCTTGGGTAATTCAGTTACCCAGCGTTGTAATTGTAACTCCAGCTGCTCTAGCTGTGATCGAGAGATTGTTGGATCGTGCTTGCAACAGCACAGATCATTCAAAATCGATACGAGACTGACGAGGCGGTTGAAAGTGCTCAACGAGTGAAGGGGACCGCGCTGCATAGACGCCCGCGAGGATTGGGCTGGCCGTAACCCAGTTTGATCTTCCCAGGGATGCCATTCCTCAAGACCGTCCTCGTTGATAGAGCCTATCCTGGCTAAGTCTGCCTTTCGCAAGGATGGGAATTGCGAAATTGATTCTGCAATTAGGGTCTCGAGAACAAAGCAACCCAAAAACACATGTTTCGCTCTGCCAATGTGCTTTTCTTGATCTGGAGTTCTTGACGATGATGGATATGATGGTTGATCGAGACCTAGTACATGCGCGATCCGAACAGCCTGACCAACAAGCATCCAGGAGCCAGTCCATTCTTGCTGTCCGAATTTGACCAGACCTAGGATCAATAGTGCTTGCACATGTCCGATTTCGTGCGGGCCACTCTCAGGCGGAATCAATTGCCGAGCAGTAACATACATTTGTGATGGGGTCATCTGACCACTAGATTGCTCTTCTAATTCACTGGAGGCTGAGATAGAAGCATACTGGAGCGAGGCGAGAGTGAGAACAGCCCACAAGGCCGCGTGCTCCCCAGACCCGGGTGTTAGACCCGATGCGTATACGTCGCCTTCGGTATACTGAAAAGCTGTGCGAAGTATGTCATGCTTTTCGAGTATGGGAAACCAACACTGCGTGTAGGAGAAATACACATCAAAAAGGGGCCATGCGTTGTAGGGGAGTTGGAGAGGGGGTTTCGTGGAGAGCGATCGAGGATAACCAGGATTCGGTGGGAAGGGGAACGAAGACAAGGGTCGGTCATCTGGCGGACTTGTCTGAATACCGCAGTCTGTAGTCGGGCGTGGTCCAGTAACTTTCATTGGAGCGATAGCTACTGCGGTTCGAGTCGGCGATGCTCCTGGTAATGGCGTCTCACGAGCTTCTATGCCTTCTGGGATCTGCCACTCCTGTGCTTCAGCGGAAGAAAGAATCCCTTCGATATCTAGAGGTGTCTCCCCCTCGCTATATGCCTGGAGATTTCGCTCCCTTTCCTCCTCCGGCTGTTCCAGTACTATCAGAATGCGTTCAATGTCTCTGAGTACTGTGCTGTTTTTGAAGGACGCTAGCAATGCATCGGACCCCTCCGCTTCCTTGCCCATCGTAGCCAAGTGACCCGGAAGATTGATTGATCTCATCAAAGCTCGCATGACATCTTCACTGCCTTGGATCTTTTGGAAGACTAGTCCCCAAAGCAACTCCAGCGAGCGGATGTAGCCCGTAGGCAGACCTCGCTTCTTCGGGTTGGTCTTGTAGGTACAGGGTCGGCAGAGCGATACACATGTCGAGCAAATTGGTTGTATTCCGTCGCATTTGTCCTTTTTCGTCCGGCAACTATCGCAAGCGCGTGAGACTCGCTGACGCTTCGGTTCCCCCGTCACTTTCCCATCATCTTCTGGGTCGGTCCATCGCCGTTTGGGTTTGCTGCTAACACCAGCGGCCTGACGCTGTTCACCGCCCATGGTAGTTGTTCTCGTGATCCACTTAGAGAATTTGGGCGCATGCTCCCGCAAAGCGAGATTGATGAATCTTTTGCCGACAGGCGACTGCACGGGCGAGGCGGCGACTACGCCATGAAAATGTGCCCCACTGGAGGTATGTTGAGCCGTCGGGGAGGATTGTTAGCTAACGACCGAAGCGCGACGTTGAGGGTAGGTGCAGCACAATGCAAGGTGCACGCCAACAGGGTTCTTCCGGGGAAGGTTGGATACCCGGCTAGCGGTGAGCCAGTCACTATTTTGCAAAAGGTAATCGCGTGTAGACTGGGCTTTAGGCTTTGGATTCGAAGCTGGTTTTTGGGGAATCTAGCGGCGCAATTCAGATAAAGCCACAGCAATTTCGATAATTTCCCCAGGTGTTTTGCACGTTCGTATCTGAGCGCAAATCCCCCGCGGGGAAGAGGAAAACCGAAAGTCTCCGGGTGAGTGCTCGTCCGCCTTACGTAACAACCTTGGAGCGTATCAGACCCGCGCGCTTTCCAAGAATATTCTTTTTCCCCCGCAAAACTTGGGAAATC